GGCATCGCCTTCCTTTTCATCAATATCTGAAAAGCACTTGTCTTCCATTATGCTCTGAGTTTTACTTTCAGTTTTTCTTTCTTTTTTTTTTTTTTTTCCACTTTTAACATATACTGTACTTCCATCCATCTGTTAAGACTTATGGTTTCAGGTTGACCCCATGGTCTAGTAGTTAAGGGAACTGGATTCCACATGGCCAACTACACAGTTCAAATCCTGGACCTGGTGGGTTGAAAAACATGCCAGGAACATGTTGCATGCATGCCAAAAAGACTGAAAGGAGGGAGAAATAGAGGAGAAAGGATTGTGGCGTAACTACCCTCCATTGGGGATATTTTCTCTTTCTCTCCCTCTCTCTCTGTTTCCCTGGTGAGTACATGCATGTTCTAGCAAATTAAGAAAAAAAAAAAAAAAAAAGACTTGGGCTTTCAATTTATAAACAATAGTAAGGCTTCCTCTGAACTCTTTCATTTATTTTTGACTCAGATGTTTATTGAGCTCCTATGAGGCATTTATGTATTCAAGACCAAACAGATTATTATGTTTTTATAATCATAATATTAGTCATGTCCAGTGTCTTACAGAGTAGTTATTTATGGTGGATTATTAATCCCAAGGGAGCTGGAGATTGGTCAATATGTAGGATTCTGAGTATATATAAAAGAAAGTCATTTGGGAGCTAGCAGGTGGGGTGGTGATTAAGGCACTGGAATTCCACATGGCTGACCATGGTTCGAGTCCTGGACTTGGTGACTTGCTTTCTCACTTTCTTTTTCTCTCTGTGTCTCTCTCTGGTCAAATTTAAAATAATAATAAGGAAAATAAAATAAATATTTTTTAAAAAGTCATTCAGAAAATCATATTAAGCAACAAAAATCAGATTGCAAGACTTTAGTACTATTTATAGTAACTTAAGTCCCCAGTAAAAAAGTTGAGATGTCAACTGTGTATGTGGTTTGCGAACTTTAAGGAGTTCTATCAATGTTGAGCAGCGAATATTTATTGAGTACATACTGCAAGTATGACACTGGACTAGAGTGACTAGAGAATTCAGCAGCGAAGGAATCTGGTCCTTTTCCTCTCAGACCCTGTTATATAGTCGAAGAAATCAAATACATAGAAATAACTGTGTAGTAAAGGCAGAAAGAAAATATTTGAGGAGGAAGAGACCCCTGGGGGGGTCAAGGGACTCTTTCTTAAGTAAAAGTGTTTAAGCAAGTCCTTGAAGGATGGAGTTGCAAGAAAAGAGAGAGGAAGCATTAGAAATAAGTGGACTAGTGGGTGATCTAGAGCGTGTGGACTGTATTCAGCGAAGAGTGCCAGTCCAGCCGAGCTCGATCTGGTCAGTACAGGCATCAAGTGGGAACTGAAGCTGGAGAACACTGAGTATCAAGTGATGATGGTCTTGAATGCCAGCTAGGAACGTTTTTGTTTTTTTTCTGTTTGTTTTTTTTTTTTGAGAGATTTTCACTGTAGGGCGCGTGCGCTCGCCAGACAGACAGAGAGAGACATAGAGACAGAAAGCGAGAAATCACCCCCCAGGGGGGATGGTCACGCCGCAATCCCTTCTCCTCCATTCTCCTCTCGGGATCTTGGGCACGCACGCACACGCGCCCGGCGTGAGTTTTAAGCCACCAGGTCCGGGACACGAACCGCGGTCAACTAGGTGGGAGTCCAGCGACATAGCCATTACGCTAACTGCTGGTTCCCCCAGCTAGGAACTTTGAATGTATTAACAATGGCGTTATCGGAGCTATTTGAATAGGGCAGTGTCATGGCTGTGCTTGCGTGCTTTCTTTCTTTCTTTCTTTCTTTCTTTTTAATTTTTCTAGTTTTTTTCTTTCTGTTTTTTTTTTTTAAATTTAAATGTATTTATTTACTATACATAATTATAGCATACAAAATGAGATTTTCCATCCAGAATACACTGTATATTGGCTCAATCAAGCACATCAACATACATGTTATCACCAACAAATAATTTTCTATTTTCTTGTTTCCTGTATATTTTGCTTTTCTTCCCATCCTTGATTCCCTAGCTCTCACCCTCTGCTATCTCTCACTCTGCTCCCACACTGTCTCTGCTATCCATGGTTGCTTTCTATGCCTTTTCTCCCCACACCTTATTGATCCACTTAAAGATCTTCATTAATCTAAATATTTTCAATAGCAAGCATAACTGATATATACATATCCATGAACACAAGTCTGACTTTAGGCATAAACCTCAGTGAGTAGAATGAACGTACTATAAAGTAGCACCTAGCTGGGGCTATATAGCTTACTGCAGTCATCGAACAGGTATTTTTAATGCTTTTTTTTTCTTTTTAATTTCAAGAAAAACAGTTTTTGTGGG